TCTGTTGGAGGGAGGTACCAGCAAGACCCTCACATGTTAACTTCCTCCCCACTTGACCTTTGGAAAACTCACAAACTTGGCTATATCAGAGGCAGGAGAGCCAGCTGACCCCCTCCTCCTGGCTTACCCAGCCCTACCGAGTGGCCCACGTTGTGCAGACTTCTGCCTAGGGGCTGCCCTCTGCATGTGGCCATTTGGAAACATGGGAGAGATGGGTAGTCTGTGAGGCACATTGTTGGCACACAGAGCCTTTTTCAGCACCTTGGACAGGACTGGGGCTTTCCTAACCAAGCTGTCCATTTGACAGATGATGATGCTGAGGCTTCAAGGGGATAAGTCTCTCGCTCTCCCTCCAAAGTCATAATGAGCCATGTGGGGACAAGACCTGGGCACAGTGTCTTCAGATCCTTCCGCCGTTGGCTTGGAAGGCATGGGGTGCACCTGACAGGCTGCAGGAGACGTAGCCCAGCATGGTGCACTCCAGGCAAGGCCCTCAGCCCGGTCCCACAGGGCACAGGCAAGTCGGGGTCCTGCATCTGCCAGCCATTGGCTAAGGGCTGCTCTAAGTGAAGGCACCACAAGGTTCAAGTGCAGTCACACGATAGGCTGAAAATGACTTGCTGGTGACAGCATACTGGCACCACATTAGAGCTGGCATAAAGTCACCATGCTGCTTCTATGTGTGAACACACTTAGGTGCTGCCAGGCGTGTTAACAGCATAGCACGCACAGTTACGCGATTGCTTAAACACTGTCCTTAAGATGGTGTTGTTGTCACAGCAGAGGACAGCTCCCTGTCACTGTTCCTGCACTGGGACATGGGACAGAGGTAGGAGATGTTGATATTGACGATGCTGAGCCCTGGTGGGTCCAGGCTCACAGGCGTTTTGTGTCTTAACTTACCTCTTTTTTTTTTTTTAAATTTTATTCATTTATCTAAGGTAAAGGGAATATTGAGGGAGAAGCCCCACCCAGTCTCCCACCCATCCCAGGTCCCCGATGTGGGGCATGCTCTGAGATCCTTGCTCAGGTGGCCTAGATAGTTTACCAGTTATGAATCGCTGCCATTCTCGCCATTCCAGGCACGATGAGGTTGTTGAAGAATCCACTGATTGACATAGTCCATCATAGAGTCTCCATTTGCCCAGTATTTCGCTGCCAAGATATAGCTGAGGTGGTGGATTGACCTTTAACTTACTTTTTAAACCAAAGAGTGTAAAAATTAAAAACTAAACATTTTTTTAAAGATTTATTTATTTATTGGAAAGTCAGAAATACAGAGAGGAGGAGAGACAGAGAGGAAGATCTTCCGTCCAATGATTCACTCCCCAAGTGAGCGCAATGGCCGGTGCTATGCCGATCTGAAGCCAGGAGCCTCTTCCGGGTCTCCCACGTGGGTGCAGGGTCCCAAAGCTTTGGACCGTCCTCGACTGCTTTCCCGGGCCACAGGCAGGGAGCTGGATGGGAAGCGGGCCGCCGGGATTAGAACTGGTGCCCATATGGGATCCTGGGCGTGCAAGGCGAGGACCTTAACCACTATGCCATAGCGCCGGGCCCCTAAACATTTTTTTTTCTTAAATTTTATTTATCTGAAAGGTAGAACCCCAGAGAAGAGACACACATACAAACACACAGAGAGACAGCTGATTCATCACTGGTTTGATCCCTAAATGGCTACACCAGCCAGGGCTGGGCCAGGTCAAAGCCAGGAGCCCCACGCTTTATCCAGGCCTCCCATGCGAGTGGCAGGGTCCCAGGTACTTGGAACAACTTGCACTGTTTTCCAGGGTGCTAACCAGGAGCTGGATGGGAAGTAGAGTGGCTGGGATAAGAATTGTAATGCCAGTGCTGCACGTAGCAGCTTAACTTGCTATGTCCAATGCTACATAGAACATCTTACACATAAAAAAAGCTGGGGGCTGCTCTATGGAGTGGCAGGTAAAGCCACTGCCACATCCTGTGTGGGTGCAGTATCCCAGCTGCTCCATTTCCAGAAATGAGCCCAGAAAGGCAAGGCAGGATGATCTAAATACTTGGATCCCTGTGGCCACATGGGAGAGCTGGAAGAGGTTCCTACCTGCTGGCTTGCTACCAGCCCAGCTCCAGCTGTTGTGGCTATTTGGAGAGGGTGAACAAGCGAACGGAAAGAAGATCTCTCTCTGCCTTGGAAATAAGAAGTAAACCTTTTTTTAAAGCTTTGTAAAAAAGAAATAAAAATACTTTTGTGAGGCTAACATGATGGCTTAACAGGCTAATCCTTCACCTGCAAGTGTCGGTATCCCATATGGGCACTGGTTCATGTCTTGGCTGCTGCACTTCCCATCCAGCTCTCTGCTTATGACCTGGGAGGGCAGTGGAGAACGGGCCAAATTCTTGGAACTCCACACCCGTGTGGGAGACCAGGATGAAGCTTCTGGCTCCTGGCTTAAGATCAGCTCAGCTCCAGCCATTATGGCCATGTGGGAAGTGAAACAGTGAATGGAAGATCTTTTTTTCTCTCTCTCTCCTTCTGGCTGTAAATTTGCCTTCGCAATGAGAATAAATAAATTTTTTTAAAAATCCAGGAAGTTTAGCAGATTGCATTTTAAAAAAACTTTTGCATAGCTTCACAAACTGTACTTTTTAAAAAGAGCTATTTATTTTTATTTGACAGGCAGGATTACAGAGAGGAGAGAGAGAGAGAGGTGCTTCTGTCTGCTGGTTTACTCCCCAGATGGTGGCAAGGGCCAGAGTTGGGTCAGTTTGAAGCTAGGGGTCAGGAGCTTCTTCTGGCTCTCCCATGTGGGTGGCAGAGACCCAAGGATTTGGGCCATCATCTGTAGCTTCCTGGGGTGCTCGTTAGCAGGGAACTGTGTTGGAAGCAGGGCACCCTGACGGGGCTGTGGCTGTCCTGAATGGCAGTTTAGAACACTGTACCCCATGCTCACTCCAAAAGAAATTAAAAAAAGGAAACAACAAGTCTTAGGTGTGGCCCCCGTGCACATTGTCTTGGAGAATGGAGGGGAGAACCATGACTTCTGTTTTATTCACTCCTCATTCCCTCCCAAACCCCGGGCCATGTGCAGGCCCGCCAGCTCCACATGGAGCCGCTACACATGGAGCATTTTATTATTAAAAAGTTTTTATCTGAGTTTTTTTTTTTTTAAATATCTATTATTTGTTCATTGACCTATTTGAAAAGTAGAGTGACTGAGCAAGAGAGAGTTATGGGAGAGAGAGGTGTTACATTTGCTGGTTCAGTTTCTAGATGGCCACAGTGGCTGGGGCCAGCTGGGCCAGCCGGAAGTCAGGAGTCAGATCCTGGTTTCCTGTGTGGGTGGCAGGAACTCAAGTATTCTGGCCATCTCTGCTTCTTCCCTGCCACATCAGCAAGAAGCTAGACAGGAAGCAGAGGAGCTGGCACTTGAACTGGTGCTCCCATGTGGAATGCTGGTGACCCCGCAGCAATTTAATTTGCTATGCCACAACCATTTTAAAAGCTTTCCTATTGTGTTATTACTGGGCCTTTTCTGTCTTTGCCTGTGCAGCTACTCAACTACTTGCAGTTGTGTAACAGTTGCCCCTGCTCTGCCCTTCATGTCCTAAGTGTGTGGCCAAGCCCTATTTGTTAGGTGCGTATCTGGGCACGCCGTGGGGGTAGACGCCGATAAAATCCCTAGTGACGCTCCTCCCAGGCTCAGCCCCTGCTAAGCCCCTCTGCCTGTATTTTTAGCACAAACTCAGGGCAGCCCTCCCAGACACAGCCACGGTTCCACCTGTGGAAGCCAATCAGAATGGAGGAGCAAAAGCTGAAGCGCAGACTCCCCTGCCTGGGCGGAGCTCCCACACTGTTCTCCAAGCTCAGAGTCCCAGCTTGGCTTGTTCTGTGGGGTGGCAGGGGACACAGGAGCTGCTGATAACCAGAGCGCAGTGACCATGTCAGGGGCCCAGCGTGAGCAACAGGTGAGTCAGGAGGAGGAGCCCGCCAGACTCGCTGATTGGTTGGGTGCCCTTGTGAGGAGCCCGTCCGACTCGCTGATTGGTTGGGTGCCCTTGTGAGGAGCCAGTCCGGCTTGCTGATTGGTTGGGTGCCCTTGGGGGAGGAGCCTGTCAGACGCGCTGATTGGTTGGGTGCCCTTGGGGGAGGAGCCCGTCCGGCTCGCTGATTGGTTGGGTGCCCTTGGGGGAGAGCCCGTCCGGCTCGTGGATGGGCGTCAGGGTCTGTGTGAAACTGGCAGGTGCCTCTGTACCCCACAGCCCAGGAGAGGAGACAAAGCCCCTGAGCGAAGCAGGAGGGACCAGCCCCGGTGAGTTCCACTCAGCTTGAGCACAGAGGCAGTTCCTCCCCTCTCACGGGAGGGACTTGAGGGAGCGACGTGGGCTCGAGGGTCAGGCAGACGAGGCGTGAGAGGAAAGGCCTGGGTGGGGCCTTCCAAAGCTTCTGGACCCAGGACGAGTCAGGAAGAGGCCTGAAGCAGGATCCAGGGCCATGGTGACAGTTGCCAGAGACCTGAGAAGAAGCGACAGCATGCCTGGGTGAACCTAGCAGGAAGTGGAGACGGGTCAAACCCCATGCCTACGGGCACCATCTTAGTATGAGGCTGGCGACCATACCCAGCCAGGTTCCATCCTCAGACCCAGGCATGGAGCAGGCCAAGGGTTAGAGTCAAACCAGTGTCAGAGTGTGTGCAGGAGAGCGCTGGAGCAGGAGTGGGATGTGCCAGGCAGTATTAGAGGCAAGAGGCAGGGGAAGGCGGCGACTATGCGACCTGGTGATAGACCATGGGTTTTCATAATGATGCTGGAAGGGGTTCCAGACTCAGAGAGAGAAAAATGGGGCCCAGGGATCCCCCCAGAGGGGCCCAAACTGGGCACCTGCCCTTCTGTGGTCTGGGGTCAGCTTTCTATGACATGACCTTGGGCAATAATGCCAAGGTCATCTCACAGTCTGCCTCCAACATGCTTTGCTGGTGGAGGAGGTCTTGGCTGCCCTGAGTTGCTCCCACCCTTCTCACTTGCAGACCTCTTCACAAGTGCCCACCACGACTGCCCTATGCCCCAAGGCATGGGTGCCCTCAGCCCACATCTGCCATCAGGCCATGTCACCCCTGCTGCGGACCATGTCACTGGCAAGGTAACCCCCTCTCCTTCCTGCTCCCACCTGGCTGTGCTCGGATTCCTGGCTGTTGTTAACAGGCCAAGCCTGACGTCTCTCATCTCATTTGCAGGACAAACAGATGGATTTCTGTTGGGATCCTTGGCAGGTCAGTGCCCTCACTGTGCCCTGGTCTAGCCACCTGCTGCTTACCCCATTGCCCCTCCCTCTGCTGAGCTCAGCCCAGGAGAGGTAGTGGTCCTGTGGGAGTGGGAGGGAAACGCTTGGCCTTACCCCCACTTTCTTGCCCACCGCCCAGAGGCACGGGTAGTGGGGCTGGGCAATGGTGGTGGCCATGGTGGGAGATGTCGCACAGCTTCCCCCTAACACCTCCTGCTGACCTCCATGCGCTCCCCGCCCCAGCAGAGGTGCTTCCAGACCACCAACGGCCATCTCTGCGACTCCAGATCCTGTGCCAGCAACTACAACGTGGCTGCCCTGGCCACCTCGTCGCTTGTGGGTAGGTTGCTGTGGCCTCTTCCTGCCCTTGGAGTTGGCTGAGTGCACTGAGCCCGGGGGAGGAGGGCAGGACATGGAATGACAGCTGGGAGGTATGCGCCAAGTTGGAATCCACATTTGCTCAGGCCAGTCTCCCAAGTGGCGGCAGAGGTTTCCCAACTGCCTGGAGTGTGCACCAGTAGGAAGCTATGATGGGAAAGACAGCCAGACTGAGATCCGGGCACTTGATGTGACTCGTGGGTGCCTCAGGAGGGTCTGAGTCCCTGAGCCAGACAGCTACCTCCGATTCAAGTCAATGTTTTCTACTACGAGCTCTGTGTGAGACTGGTGGGATAACCTGGATCGTCCAGGTGTGGCTAGGTCTTGTCTGCCTGCCCTCTGCCACTCACATCCCCTTGGGTGGTGGTCCCCAGAAGCGGAACCTGAGAAAGCAATTGTTAATGCAGGGAGGGAAGGCTGGGGTGGAGTTTTTGAATTTGGCCAGAAAGGAGAGAGGGGCATGCCAGTCTGGAGAAAGTGGACATGGAGTTGTAGGAGAGGGAGTCAAGTGTGGCCTTGCATCTTGGGGATGCACTTGGCAGGGAGTTGGGGGAGGGAAAGGACAGGCCATGGAGTCCTGTGGGATACAGGGAGCGCAAGGCAGCAGCACCTGGGCATAGCATGCACTGGGCTGTGGGATACCCAAAGGACCTGAGGAATGACTGCCAGGTAGGGAGGTGGGAGTGAGGCCTGAGCAGTGCCAGGACCACCCTCCCCCCAAGATACCCTCGGTGCCCACAGGCGTGGTGCAGAGCATCAAAGACCACATGACAAAGCCCACGGCCATGGCTCGGGGCCGCGTGGCCCACCTCATCGAGTGGAAGGGCTGGAGCGCCCAGCGATCAGGCTGGGAGGTGTCCCCAGGCGAGGACGAGCGTTACTGCTGTCTCTCAGATGAGCTACGGGAGGCCCGCTTCGCCGCAGGTCAGCAGGGATGGGAAGGAGTGGGGTGAATCTGGGCCTTGGGACCTAGAAGCATGCATGGACACAGTGTGGGCAGAGGTGGCTAGGGTGTGATGGCAGCCCTCCCCAACCCCCTTCCCCCACTATCCACTCAGGGGTCGCCGAGCAGTTTGCCATCACAGAGGCCACACTGAGTGCCTGGTCCTCGCTGGATGACGAGGAGCTGGACGATGAGCTGCCTGCTGGCCTCAGCCCCCAAGACACCGATCAGCTCCAGGGTACAGTGGGATAGGCGCTGGGCTGAGGGTGGGAGCAATGCTGAGCTCAGGCTGGACGCTGTGGCCATGCCAGGCAGCGTGACTTGGGCAAGTCCCTTCTTCCCCTCAATGTCTTCATCTGTAGAAGGGGCCCTAGGCTCTGGACGCACCATAAACAATGAAAGAATTCTGCCAGGCCCCATGCTGGGTGTGATTCGCTCATGCCCTCGCAGCACTGAGAGGGCAGATCCTGCAGTCCCCAGGTTAAAAATAAAGAAATGAAGGCACAGGGCGTAGGAACGCACCCCAGTCACCCCACCAGAAACGTCAGAGCAGGGTGTCAAACTTGGCACCAGGCACAGCCAAGTACCTGCTACAACACTACAGTCCCCCAGAGTGGCAGAGAAGAGATGACATGGCAGGCTTCTGGGCCCTGGTCAGGTCACACAGCTCAGCAGCTGCACTGGGGCATGGGGCAGGCAGGTGCTTTGGGGCAGGGGTGGGGGCAGTGATGGGCAGGACCCGGATACATGTGCCCCCCTCTGCTTCCAGGCCTGCAGGACAGCTTCCCCAGCGGCCCCTCGCGGGATGACAGCCTCCTGGCCTTCTCCTCTCCTGGTCTCTCCCCTGATGGCTGGCCCTCCCCTGACCCCAAAGCAGCTGCCTGCCCGCAGCCCCCTAGCCCTGAGCAGCAGCCCCGGCAGCGGCTACCTGGGGGGCTGGGGCCTGAGGTGGGGGGCTGCCCGCAGGGCTCCCTGCCCTCAGTGGACAGCGGCTCCCTCTCGGAAGAGGAAGATGAGGTTTTCTATAACTGAGGTGAGGCTTTCTGGGCCCAGCTCCTGCTCACACCGTGACCTTGACTGGCCTCAGCCCAGGCACATCTGGACTCTAGGGCCACAGCTGGCCATCTCTTGATCTCTGCTGTCAGGCCTAGTGTGGAGGGGGCAGAAATGGGGTTGGCACTCCTGCAGGTCTCTGTGCCTCTGTGGACCAGCACTTCAGAGGTGGCCAGAGCTCCCCTACTCCTGTTTAGTTGGCTCAGGGGGACATTGCCTCCTGCAAGGACCTCAAGGATACAGGCATATCTGGGCCGCAGACCCCAGAGGCGCTGCTGCCAGGACCCCTAGGGCATCCACCAGGAGTGGAGCTGGGGACCCTTTCTTGTCTCTAAGTTCAGTCCTTTCCTCCCTCTGTGCACCTGCCCTCTATGACAATGGCGTCATCTCCTTGGTAGCACAGCCCCTGCTCTGTGGCATCCTTCAGGGCATCTGTGTGGTTGGAGTACCCGTCTGTCCCCTCTGAATCTGCTCCTTGGTGACCTAACTCCCATCCCATCTTCCTCATGGTGCCCTGGTATTAAAGTGGTGGGTTCACCCTGCATGAATGTGGTCTGGTCTCTGCTGGGAAAGGCGGGGTCTTGGGCCCCTGGGCAGAAGGTACTAGAGGGTAAGAGAGGAGGGTCCCTGTCCCCCAGTGTGCGTGCACATAAACATGCACACACACACACACACACACACACACACACACACACACACACACACCTATTGCACCTGCTGCAGCCTAGTCAGGACAGATTGCATGGAGTGCTGGGTTTAAAGTACTGGTCTGGGAAGGTATGGAGACAACTGGTCAAATAGGAAAGGCTTGTCTTGTAGCAAGGCCAGCATGTGAAGGTACAGTAGGATTTGGGCCCATGGACAGCAGGTGTGTGTGGGGAGGGCAGGGATCTGAAGGGAAACGTTAGCCACCCCACCCACCCTGCAGTGTGGACATCCTTTTTGACACTCCTTGCCTGGGAAGGGACCTTGTCTTCCTGTGGGGGCCTATGTCCACCGCTGTACATGGGCCGGGAAAAGCTAAAGTCCCCCTTGGCTGGGACTGTGGGAGTCAGCAGTGAACATCCGCGTGGTCTTAGCAACTCACACACCTGTCAAAAGCCTGTGAAGGTCAGAGCGAAGCTGGCACGTTCTCAGGAGATGACACACTAGTTGTTCCTTAGAGTTTTGTTGTTTGTGCCTAATTTTACCAGGTGTGGAGTTGACCATGTGTACCCCAATGACCTAGCTAATCCTGACCTGGAAGACACCCCCAAGCATCAGGGATGTCTCAGAGGGACACACTCAAGACCGCCTTTGCCAGCTGGGGCTCAGCTTGCGAGATGCGGGCTGGAAGGATGGAATCCAGAGAGAGAGAATGTCCTGAGACTGTGGGGATCCTGGCTCCATCCCGGAAGCAGGACATGGGGTGGGGACAAGGGCCCCAGGTTGCAGTGTATCCAGAACTGCCAGTAGCCCCAAGAACTCTGGTCCAGCACAGGTGAGTGGCTGAGGGGCCAGTAGGTGCCCAGGGAGTGGAAGTGAAGGAGGAGCTATGGTCCAGGAGGGGTCAGCTTTATTGCTCAGGATCAGATGACCCCAGATGGCCTCTGAGCCTGCCCTGGTGACAGGAGACACTTGTATCCTTGGTCACTGGCTGAGTGACAGGCTTCCTGCTGGCTCACACATCTGTCCTGTAGCTGGTGAACATAATGATGGTTTAGGGTGATCATCTTGGGCTGGGTTAGGGCTGCCTGCCATGCCGAGGAGGTGATGGAGTGGTAGGGAGGTCTGTGATAAGAGGAGAGAAGCCAGCTCCTGGCCCCCATGGTCACAAGACAGCGAGGTGTCCTATCCCCTCTGAAGGTGGCTCACTTGGTGGCTGAGGGGTTGGTCAGGGCAGAGATGGCTTTCTTCAACTGGAACAGAGCAAAGGGGATCCCGGGAGGGTGGGGTGGTGAGAGTGGGCTGCGTCAAGGCTTCCCTGGATGTGGGTGGGGGTCCCTGTGACTGCTGGAGCTGTGCCTCCCCATTGCACTGATGAGAAGGCTGCAGGACTGCTGGCCACAGAACCAGGGCAGGGGCAGTCAAGCCCAGGAATCCCCTGGCCAGGAAGTGGAGGCAGTAACATCCTGTGGGTGTGAGCCATCGATGCTGGCACCAGGAGTAACTGCTATGCTTGCCATTCAGCTTCCTGCCTGTGTGTCAGGGAAGCAGTGGATGGTGGCTCATGTCCTGGAGTCCTTGCCACTCATGTGCAAGAATCAGGTGGAGGGGATTGGGTCCTGGCTTCAGCTTGGCCCAGACCCAGCTGGTGGGGCCATCGGGGGAGTGACTGCATTGATTATCTTTCTTTGTCCCCTTGTGTCTGTCCCTCTCTTTCTCTGTCAGTCTGCCTTTCAAACACATAAATAAACATTTTAAAGGGTTCTTAATGTCCCCCACCACCTAGGGGTCTCTAGTACCTCCATCCAGGTCACAGAGCCCACAGCTCTGCCCTTGGACGTCACGAAGAGCGACTGAAGGTTCAACAGCTTAAAGAGGTTGTGTGCCTGTAGGGGAGTTGGGGAAACAAGAGAGTCAGCCCCGCCTCTGTCCCTCCCCGGATTCATCTTGCATCTGGTGGAAGACCAGTAACACCTGACCTGCAGTGTCCACTGTCACCAAGAGAGGGCAGCAGAGTTGGCACTGAGGGCAGGTGGGCAGGTCCAGGATTTGTTTCTGTCCCGCCCCCCTCCCCCCATCTCCCCACTGGAGTGCTGAGCTCCGACCTCACAGCTTGAAGAATGTGCCCGAGATCACTCAGGCAGAAGGTAGCAGACCAAAAAGGGGCACCCTGGGTGCGAAGACCCCATGCTAGTAACTGGCATCTCCCTCCCTTCCACCAGCTCCCTCCTGCCACCCCATCCCCCATGCCTACATTGTCTCATTTTCCAACACTTTACCCCACCCCCAAAGGCTTCGCTCAAGTTTCTGGGTCACCCCAACCCCAACTGAGGTCAGGGGACAGGGCAGGCACCGCTGTGTCCATTCAACAGTGAGGAGCAGGCCGGGAGGACAGAGCAGCACAGCTCAGTTGGGGAGCCTGAAGCCTCATTCCCTGCTGGGGGCTTCCCTTCTGTCCCAGGGCCCACGCTGACCCCCAAATTCTCCTCTTCCCCACTGCTGCTCATTACCTGGTGAAGTGAGGTCTCAGGGGACAGCATCAGAGTCACTGGCTCCAGGGAGCAACCTCCAACCAAGATGTCCTGGAGATAGTGCTGGGGACAGGGTGATGGGCACATGGTCCTGCACCCCTCCTCAGGCTGCCCTGCCTGACCACCACTCCCATCAGCTCCCTGCTGCCCACCTCTCCCCCACACACACCTGTTGTCCTGAAGCCCAGGTAGGTGGCTCGGCCTGGAGGGCTTGCACCAACTGGGCCCTTTGCACGGTGCCCACCAGGATCTGGGACTCTAGCAGGTGCACAGGGAGGGTAGAGAAGCAATTATGAAGAAGGAACTCACCTGTACTGAACACCTACTATGTGCCAAGAACCTGTGTGCTCGACACCTTTGTCCCACACTCCCTGCTAGGTACCTCGGCTCTCCACCACAGGGTACTCGGCCACATCCGTGGAGGTCACAACCTTGACCACGTGCTCCAGTGGTGCGTCCCTGGCCAGTGTGGTGATGGTGTGGTTCATGAAGTTCTCCACGGACACACGGTGCGAGCTGGGGGCGAAGGAGTGCCCATCAGGCCCCAGATTAGACCCCAGGACGAAGCTGAGGGCAGGTGGGCAGGTCCAGGGAGGTGACAAGCACAGGGTCCTTGCTCTCAAGGGTGGGCAGACAGCAAGGTGGTGCCTTTCCAGACTCTAGGGCTGGACCTGGCCAGGACCTGGCTCTGCGTAAGGCCCGTGATTTGAGCCGGAAGCAGCTCGGTCCTGATTAAATTCCTTCAGCTCTGCTTCCTGGTCCTTTGATGCCAGTGAGGGTAACAGCTTGCTTCTGCCACTCAGGCTTGGGACCTGGAGCAAGCCCTGACCACTGCCTGTGCCGTTTCCTCAAGTAACAAGTATGGTACAGACAGAACAGATCAGAGAGGAGTGGCTGGCCGTCCTTCCAGGGCCCGTTTGCCAAGCTTTGCTGGGGAGGTCTGGGGGCCCTGCACTCCAGCCCATCTAGGGACCCACTATTCACCCCCAGGGACTAGAAGTGAGCACTCTCACCCGATGGGGCGACCCCGGATCCATGGCAGGTAAGGCAGCTTCTTCACAATGATGGTGCCATCATAGAAGGAGGGCTGGCAGCTCTGGGCGATGGCATTGGCCGCCAGCACCGCCATGAGCACGGGCAGGGCGTGCACAATCTGCCCTGTCAGCTCAAAGGCCAGCAGCGCCGTGGAGATGGAGTGGGTCACTGCCCCCGAGAAGGCTGCCGCCCCTGCAGGGACAGCACAGGCAGGAGGCTCAGGCCAGAGCTCAGCATCCCGGCACGGCCAAGGTCACGGGCTCAGGTGAGAATCATGCAAGGCCTGTGGCTGAGGGGAGAGAGAAGGCAGGGGACAGGGAACTGGGGACAGAACAAGAGCTGAGGGGTGTCAGGTTCTCGGGGAGTGGTGGGAACAGACAGATATCTCCATGGCCCCTCTGTGCCTTGCTTCACTGTCAGTGCATTCTCAGATGCAACCCACACAGCAGGGAGCTGACCCACTCACCTGCCAGGGCATAGCCGCCGGGCATGATGGGGTTGGTGATGCCCCCAGCCACGATGCCCTCAGGGAAGGCGAGAGAGAGGGCCTCGCCCAAGAGGCGTCCGATAGCCGCTCCTGGACACAGGCTGAGGCTGAGGAGGGGGCCGCAGACTGACCGAGTTCTGCCCCTCCCAGACTCCCAGAACCCCAGACTCACCATAGATGAAGATGGGCAGGAAGTAGCCAGCGGGCATGGGGATGGTGGTAGCCAGGATCAGCATCCAGAACTGGAGGGGTGGGGCCAGGGCAGCAGTGAGAGGCAGCCG